ACTTCTCGATTTTTTTTTTAATTTTTTAAGCCTTTACTGGGAGAAAATCTCTGGTAAAACATTTGTTTTGTATTGAATCTCGCCGAGTTTGTCGTAAGATCGGGTTAAGAATTAGGGTTTCAGACAAAGAGAATAACGAAAGAAGCGCCGACATCAAACAAAAAAATTGGCTTACATCACTCAAGGAGTTTATCTCTATTCATAGTCATGTTATCATTGACCTGTTTTATATTTGATTTTGGCTACCCTAAAAATTAAGTGGACTTCTAATTTGGACTTTTTTTTTATCATTCAATCAATATATTTCTTTATGGCCTAAAAATTGTCATTTTGTTCAAATGTCTTAAATATTTGCACATATCATTATATATCAACTAAATACAATTATTTATTTTGTAATATTTTGCTGGTATTTTTTTAGTATTTTTTTTTTAAAATTTCCTATTTGATCTATAGTACAAAATACAACAATTATTTAAAAAAATAAAACCATTATATGTCTTAATTTGAAGACAGTGATTTGTAGTGATGAAGATTCTGTTGATGGAAAAACCACAAACGTTGTATATAAAAATTTGTTTAACAATATTTAGTTATTCTTTTTTAGAACATTTTTCCAATGATTATATTATAATTTTTACTATTGTTTATATCTTTTTATTATTTTTTGTTCTATTATATTGCTTTCCGTGCAAATGCACGGGTTAAAAACTAGTAATATATAACATGGACTAGTGGAATGAAGTTGGTAAATGCCAACTGATAAAGCAGTGCTTTTTGTCAACGCATCACGTTGACCTAGCCAAGCACAAAATGATGAGAATTGAGAAACAAAAACGGTCAAAATAATGTCAAATTTTTATCCATTTACTTATTTTTTTGAATTAATTAATTATACCAGCCTCCATTAATCACTTGAGGTATGATTGATCAAGATTGTTAATTGGGGGATGAAATATTGTGGCATTAAGAAAATTATTAATTAAAAGGAAAAAATTATGGATAAATCAATATTTATAATTTATTCTCATGTTTATTCATAAAAAATAGTATAATATATATATATATATATATATATATA